GCTCGGCGCCCCACACATACACGCTGACATTGCCCCGTCCTAGTAGGGAACCTGGCCCTGATGCCCTCTTGGGGAGTGGCCCTTCTCCTGACAGTGCAGTGGGAAAGGCCGTGCTCTTTGAAAGGGCCTTTGAGCTCGTCTCCCGTGGATTTGAGCCCCCCTCCCAGAGAGACCCCTCCCAGAGACCCGGCCCCTCTTGCTGAAACACCAGGGTTCTGTGGAGCAAATGGGTACACTCTAGCCCACCCACCCAGCCCAGCTCCGGCTGCTGCTGCCCTGCACACCCAGTGCCACTGCAGAGCCGAGGGTCCTCTGCGGCTGGCTCCTGAGATCACGCAGGAAAGATTTCAGACATGCTCAGAGGGGCAGACGTGACTCTGTTGGAAGGAGCAGAGAGGGGAAAGGGGAGAGAGGGGGCCCTCTCAGGGAGGAGAGGGTCGGCATGCCCCTCCTGCCCTCCTGTGTGGCTGGGGTCCCAGGGAAGTTTCCGGGGAGTCCTCCCTGGGCCTTCCTGACTTTGGACTGACGGCAAGGCTGCATCGGACCTCCCAGCCCCACCCCTCCAGGGGTCTCTCCTGTGGAGGGGAGTTCACTTGCCAACCACTGGAGGCAGCGTGGGTCACTGTGGCCCACGCTGACCAGTTCTCACCCGCGTATCTCCGTCTGTCAAAGCCATCTTCTCCTTATCCGCAGGCGGGTGGGCTTTGGGGACCACAGGTTACTTGCTGAGAAGTAGTATATCCTGAGTTAGGCCAGGCAGGGCTGCAGCAAACTGTTCTTAAAAGAAAGCAGGTGGGTCAGCATGGTGGGCCCAGTCATGGGCTGTCCCTCGCCCTTGGGCTCCCTGTCCCTTCACGGTTCACTTGCTTCTCAGCTTCCAAATCTGTGCTGTGCTTCTCCCTGTTGTCACCCACCTTGGCTGGCTGGCGCCTTTGACAGAACCTTGTCCCCTCATCTAGAGCACTTCAGCTGGGCAGAAGCACGTGCCCGTAGCCGTCCTCATCCAGAAAGTCCAAGTTAAAATCTGCCCCTGAGAACCAGGGGCTTGGGGGCAGTGCCGTCTGGTGGCTAAGATCGGAAGCTGGGCTGGCTGAGGAGATGTGACTGCCCCGATGGTTGGGACCCTGAGCAGGTGTCCTAGCCTTCAGCCTGGCCCTGCTCTAGAGGGACTGTACCATGTCCACCTAAGGAACAGAAAAGGGCGACCGAAGAGTGCCAGCAGCTGATCATGGCTTGTCCTCAGGACACAGAGTGGCTGCTGGTGTACCACATGTGGTCAGGCCAGGCTGGCCCTGGCCTCGGTGGAACTCAGCGAGGTCAAACCCGGCTGGCTAGCCTTCCCAGAGACCTGGAGACTGGGTGGGAGCTGGAATTCTCAGCTCCTGGATTCCGCCCAGAACGTGGGGTCTAGGAGGGAGTCGGCCAGGCCCAGGCCCACCTCTGTCCCTCTCCTCCCCCCGCCCCTCCCAACAGCACACAGTGCCCCCACGATGCATGTGACCTTCATGAGGTAGCCTGGGAGGAGAGGCTGAGCAGGTTGGGCCTGGCTCGGGACCCCTGTGGGATCCCAGGTCGGGGCCCCAGAGCATGTTCTAGAAGTTACAAGCTCCGCATAGCTCTGACGGGCTTGTCTCCATCTCCAAGGGAGGACCCCAGGCCAAGGGGTGTGGCCAGGAAGAGCCAGAACAGGGCCAGGCAGGAGCCCCCTATAGGCCCCCACGCCCGGAGGGTCTGGGCTGTGGTGTCTGGTCCACCCTGCAGTCTGACTCTGTCTCTCGTAGGCATGGTCCTGGCTGTCCTGCTCCATGAAGGTTGCCTGCCCCGCCTTTTCCAGAGAAACCTGCTCTACAGGCAGAAGAGCAAGTTCCGAACCCCCAAAGGGAAGCTGGCCCCAGGTTCTGAGGACAGGCGGGCACTGGCGGCAGGGTGCAGTGGCCAGGAGCCGGGGCGGGGCAGAGCCGCTGCTGCGGGGCTACTGCTGAGCCGCCTGGCTCCGTGAACGCCAGCGAGGGTCAGCGCTGATGGACCTGGGGCCTCGGAGCCGAGGGGGCCCAGCTCTCCTCCCTGGAAACCACTTGTCAATAAACCGTTGCTCGGTGCCTGTCTCCCTGGGCCTGAAAGGCCTCTCGAGGGGCGGGCAGGGCGCGCACGCGTCTCCCACGGGCTCTTTCCTGCTTCTTGTTACAGAGTGAGAATAAGGGGTGGGCCCCGGGTGCAGGGGGAGCCTGGCTGAGGAACGTCTCCTGGGCCCAGGAAAATTGTGGATGGCACCGGCAGCCTGGGACACGGAGCTCGCCCAGGGCCCTGGGAGATGGCCGGGGGCCGACAGCGGAGACTGCAGAGTCCGGGCCAGGTACAGGGCCCTGAACCTGGTGTCCACGGAGTTCCCTGGCCACCAGGATGATGCCTGCTCACCCCAAAGACAGGAAACCTTGTCGATCTCCAAGAATAATTGCCAGGGGCACCCCATTGTCCCATGGAACCCCAACCGTGGAGCCTCCACCATTTCCCCCCCTCAAACCAGAGCTGATCTGGGAATTCCCACCACCAGAGGATGAAGGTCCCCCTTCTGTGGTCCCCAGAGTCCCACCCGAGGGGGCAAGGCTGCAGGGGTGTGCCGTGGTCCCACTCTGTCTTGTGGGAGCAGCAGCCCTGACCTGGCTGCTCTGTGGGGAGGGTGCCCCGAGGGGAAAGCCAGGGTCTCCCTGGGGACCTGGTGAGGCCTCGTCTTCTGCTGGCCTCCCGTGGCTGCCCCTTCACCCCTCTAAGTCCCCTCACCAGGCCGCTGGTCAGGAGCCTCAGCCTCTCCCTTCCCCTACTTGGTATGACAGCCTGGGGAGGGGGTGACCAGGAGCCCAGGTCCCTAAGGGAGCGCTGGGGTGGAGCCCGCAGCCAGCCCGTGTGGCTGCCCTGCCAGGGCTCTGCAATCCCAGGTCCCACCAGCCACCACCCCTGTGCCCAGCACGGGAGCAGGCAGAGGTGCTGGGCAAGCTACAGCCGGGGAGTGGTCAGGCTGCTACAGGTGCAGAGGGAGGCTGGTCCAGGCCAGGCCTCAGGTCAGGGCCCAGGGAGAGTGCCAGGCCCCAGTGGGCACTGCTGTACCTCAGGGACGGGGGGCCTGCTCATGCAGGTTCTGGGGCTCACGCAGGCAGCTGCAGGATGGTTGGCATGAAAGGCCACCTAGTTGTCCAGCCCCACGGGTGCATCCCAGAGCAGCACCAGGGACTGGTCCAGGTGCTCAGGCCAGGCGGCAGCGGGCAGAGGGCGAGGGAGCCCAGGGGAGGTCTTGAGGTTTGGGAAAGGGTGGCTCTGGGAGAGACTCCGTCTGGGCTCTGGCAGTGCTGGCGGGGCCCAGGGTGGGAGCTTGCTGCAGAAGGCAGACTCCTGGATTGGGCGGGTCCCAGGATGGCAAGACTCACTGTCCCTCAGCAGGGGCTGTGGGGCAGCACTAGAGACGGCACAGCTGCCTTGGTCCCGACAGGGTCTTTATTCTGTCAAGCCCCCGCGCCTGGGTGTCTGCACACACAAGGCCCTGGCGAGGGGGCTGAGCTCCCCGGGCAGTGCTCAGCTGGGCACCGCTGTCCTGCACCTCCTGAGCCTCGTTCGTTGGATCTGATTTGCTCCACGGGGGAGAGGAGGTGACTGCAGGATCCAGGGCCGGTTGGAAGCACCTAGAAGCCTGTGCTGGGGGCAGCTGGCCGCCCAGGGGAGAGCTGGGCGTCAGAAGCCCCGTGTCTGGGTGGGGAAGGGCTCTCAGGGCTGATGGGCCTGCTGACCACTGTCTGTCTGGGAGGCCGCCATCTGCAGGGGAGTCTCTAGCTCTGAGACACCTGGTGAAGGTCCGTAGTCTCAACTTCCTGTGAACCTACCATTATTGCAAAATTTTGAAAATAAACCCTTTTTACAGTTTTTCCTGACTTCCCTGTAACAATCACCATAAAATCATTTTTAAAACGAAGAGTGGGGAGTGCATCAAGCCAGAGCTCTGCCTGGGCGGGCACGGGGCTTTCCTGTCACAAAGGAGAAATCAGAAGGACTGGGAACCTGGCCCAGAGGCCCCGTGCCCTGCTTCAGAGCAGGGTCACTCTGAACTCAGGGGAGGCCACGTCACTCATGCAAGGGAGGTGACCTCACGTGTCTTTCAGGGCTCAAGACCAAACCTCCCACAGCCTCCAGGACACCCAGGCAGGGTCCAGGCTGGCCCAGGCAGGGGACCAGCACCCCAACCAGGACCGGCTCCCGGGTCCCTCTGCCGAGGCCTAGCCACATTCCCTGTGTGCAGCAGCCCTCCTGGTACTACTGCCCAAGACCTGATGGGCTACCCTGCACCTGGCCTATCTGCATCCCTGGGGGCCAGGGCCCAGGGAGGAGCCCACCACACACCTGAGCCGGAGGCCTGGCCTGACGACTGCCCCTGGAACAGCTCCTGAGCCTAGACCTCGTCTCGCCGGCTTTGACCTCTCAGAATGGCCTGTGCTCTGAGTGGCAGTGACCTGCCTGGCCAGGAGACTCCCGTGTCCCCTGAACCATGTTCTTTTTCTGGGGAGCTGAACCCTGGCCTTGGGGGAACCGAACTGGACAAGATCCAGCCAGTGTGGTAGTCACCCCAACTCCCACCGTGGCCTCGGGCAGGACCAGGCCCTACGGGCAATGCCTCACACCAATACTTGGGGTAGCTCTGGTCCCAGAGCCTGGCACACCCTGCTGGGGTTCTGAGGGGCCCAGACCCCAAATGCTGCCTGAGGGCAGTGCAATGGCCTAGCATGAACCTGCACCTACAGGAGAGGGCACCTGGGGCGGCTCAGAAGTGGGTGGCTCCAAAGACAGCACCCCTGGCACCTCACCCCACAAATCTCTCCCAACCCTGCCCCTTCCACCCCAAGAAGCCAGCCCCTCCCTGCCTGGCCTCTGGGCAGCAGATGCCATCTCTGGACTGTGCCGAAGAGATGCCCCTGGGACCCCCCAGCAGACCTAACACAAAGCCACAGCTGAGACACGGGTACGGGTTGCGTAGAGCCACGTTTATTTCTTAGTTGGACACAGCCGTGATGCACACACAGTACAGGGGCCTAGAGCTAACACTCGGGTAAGACGTGGGGAGAGTCGCTGCATCGGGGTAGTGGAGATGACACAGGGTCCCACAGCAATCACATATGTACAAGCCAGGGATGCAGGGGCACCCAGAACAGACCAGCTACAGGAAGCACAACCCGGGGAGAGACGGGGGCCGTCACAGCCTCTGTCCAGCCTGGGGCTGCAGGGGTAAAGGACCTGGCCGAGCTGGCACGGGACCAGCACCACAACCCCGCTCGCCGTACCCCTGACCACGTTCAGGACCCCCAGGTGCCCCAGGCTCTAGGGACCAGGATGGATGTGGAAGGCCACTCTCGGCAGCTATGCTGGCAGGACCACTTAGCAGGAGGACTTGGGCTTCTCAACCCCACAGGACCCCAGGAGCCGGCATCCCCCAGGCCAAAGCAAGGCCAGAGCTGGGCAGTATCAAGCCTCAGAACCAAACCACCAGGAGAGATGGCTGTCTCGACCTCTCACCTCCATGCCAGCAAGAAATGGGGGCCACAGCCAGACCAGGCGCTCCCCTCCGCATCACAGGATGGGAAGACCCCAAGGGTCTCTCCACGGCACAGATGTGGACACAGCATTCCAGGGGTGGGGGCAACTGTCCTCAGCTGGCTGGGTACGTGGGTGGTTTCGGGCAGGGTGGGCAAACAGAAACCAGGCTTCCCACCTTGTGGACACACTGCCCTTGGCCTCTCCTGTTTCTGTAGACTGACTCTGGACGGCCCACAGGGCAGGGGCCCATCTCAGTGCCAGCCAATGCCAAAATGGCACCGCCCAGGCCTTCATGGCGGGGGGGGGGGTCTTCTGAATGCAGAGGGCTCCAGGCTCCTGGCCTTTCCCTCAGCCTGGCCCCAGACAGCAGGTGCTCTGCAGGTTGGCTGGCCTCAGACACCCGCTGGTGGGCGGCCCAGACCTTTCCGAGGCCACGGCTTCAGGCTGGCTGACCTGAGTGGCCGTGGTGGGCCTGGCCTCTAGCCTGCTGTGAAGGGTGTGGCCTTGAAATCCAACTCAACTCAGAGCAGGGTGCTCTGTCCCACCCTCCCTGCCTCGAGGGGGTCGCGGGTACCAGAGTGAGTGCCATCTGGATGCTGTGTCTCAGCCCACTGCCCCCACGGTCCACAGGGCTGTCACCTGGTTTCTGCACAAGGTTTACTTCAGTCTGGGACGGCACTGTCCTCAAGGAGCCCCCTAAAGAAAGCGCTGCGTGGCCCACACTGCACAGCTGTGGTTTCCTAAGACCTGACAGAGGCCCCGGGCCCTGGGGACCAGGCAGCCACCCCTGCTGCAGCTGAGCCTGGTGGGAGGACGAGCTCCCCGTCTGAACCTGCATCTGGTCTTGTGCTGGCTGCAGGCTCAGATCCTGCTTCCACAATACCACTCACCCTGAGCCCTGCGGTCTGCGGTGAGGGTCCAGAGGCCTGGACGGTTTCCCCAAGGAAGACCTGAACTTGTTTGTCAGCATGAAAGAGGCCCACACACCTAGTCTCTTCCTCCGAGAGTGGCTTGAGCTCACAAGTCAGGGTAGTGCCATTCAGGGACCACCTGGGCTGATGGGGAACCTCCGAGCCCCCGGCTCATCTGAACCAAGCAGCAGGAGCTGGCAAGGGGGTGGAAGGTGCCCAGCCCCAACGGCAGCCTGGTCCAGGTGGGCTGTAGGGTTAGGGGACTTGCAGTTTGGTTTCTGATTTTCCAAATGGCCTGTGAGTGGGAATTCCCCAGGTGCAGAAGAACCCTGGACAGCCAAGACAGCCTGGTATCTGCCCTCACCCACCTGCCAAGACGTGCCCCGTGCATGCAGTCTGCTCCCTGGGGTGGAGAGGAGGGTGTGTGTGAGGAGCTTCCAATCACAGAACCTCCTCCCAGAGCAGCCTGGGGCTCTGCGTCCTCACAGCACCAGGGAGGCCCTGGAGGCCGGGACCCACACCCTGAATGCTGACCTTGCCTGCTGCCCAAGAGCCCTGTGTCTGAACCCAGCCACCGGCCCCGACAGTCTGGACACAACTGGTGAGCCTGGCCGCCATGGACACCCTGGCCTCCTCCCTCCCGGCCCCCCATGGTCCCATCTCAGGTCCGCTCACCCTCTCAATCCTGCTGGCACCACCTTAGCACCTGGAGACCCCACACACCTGGAGGAGGCTCAGGGAAACCTGGCCCAGGTGTGCCTCTGTGCCAACCGAGGGTCCCACGTCCAAACTCCTCTTCCCCCGCTCTGCCCGAAGGCTGGAGATGCAGAGGGAACAAACAGGGAGGGTGGCCGCTGGGTCTTACAGGTCTACTCGGAGGCATTAGAAATAAATATCATAAATAGAACACAGTTATAGTTAATTTCTCAGGACTGTCTCAACGTCACTAACTACTGTATATTAATTATAAGTCTGTCTATGCTTAAAAAAATATTAGAATGGCGGCAACACGGGGTCTTGTGCCCTCTGGCCTCCCTCAGATCCCCAGCTCTCCCCACCCAGAGCAGCTGAGGAGGAAGAAAGAAGGACTCGGGCAGGCTTCCCTGGGGCACAGCTGGCCCTAGGCCCGGGCCCGGCACTCCCTGGCAGGGGAAGGCTGGGCAGCCAGGACAGGACAGACGGGGATGGGGCGAGGGACAGCGGGTGCTGGCTGGTGGGGGGCTCTGGCTCAGACCCTCATCTGTGCAGACCTCCTCCGGGAGAGCTTGGACCTGCAGAGGGAGGAGAAAGGGGTGTCACGCTGGGACTGACCCCCCGGCCGCGTCCGTCAAGCCCCTGGCCTAAGGGCAGCCCCAGGACCACCAGACGCCCAGGCCCTGGCACTGAGCGGGTGAGGCCTGGTGCTGCCTCAGCCCTCCCACACCCGCCAGGCCCTCGTCTGTGGCGTGGAGGACTGTGTGCGCACACCGCCACACATCAAGGCCCACCCAGTTAGTGCAGGCCCACCCCCTCGGACCCCCACAGGATCCAGAAGCAGCTCGGCCCTGCCTAGCGCCCCGGAGGTGCTGGCTGGCGGGGCCCGGGCACAGCCGTACCTGATGGTCCCCGCCAGGAGGGGGTTGAAGGCGTACAGCCAGTCATGCATGTCCTTGTCACTGTTGGCCTGCAGCAGGATGCCACGGTGCTCTGTGCACACCGCAAACGTGTTGGGCGTCTGCAGAGGAGGCTGTGGTAAGAAGGAGCGGGCCGGCACCCACCACTGCTGAGAAGGAACCTGGGGACTCTGGGGTGGGGCTCGGGGAGCCGCAGGCCAAACCTCGTGGGGAGGCAGGGCGACCCCTCTGCAGAGCACATGGCCTATCCCGACCCGCGGTGCTCCGGCTCCCTTCCAGAAGCCTCTTCGGTCAGGAAGCTCTGTCCTGGGCCTGTGCCCCACCCTGCTCTGCACCCCAGGGGAAGCGTCTGTCCCTCCAGGGGCCGTGGCTGAGTGGCCCTGCTGGCCTGTGTGCAGGGTGTGGGCGGTGGACTGAGGTCCTGCTGCCCCTCCTACAGAGGAGGCCACTCCACAGCTCCTGGGCTCAGAGGACTTCTCTCCCCACTAGGCCCCAGGGAGCCTGCTCCTATGTGTCCAGAAGGCCACACTCGGGGAGGGAGGGGGCCACGTGCCACAGGTTCCCCAGGAGGACAGGACGGGCCACTGGCCATATCTGCCCTGCCCTAGGACCACACTCATCACCAACAGTGGTCACCAGGACTGAGCTGCAGCAGGGCTGAGCCCCAGGTCCCATGTCTGTGCACAGGACACAGTGCCGCAGCCTGGGCAGGGCACAGAGGTGCCACCCAGCCCATGTGGGGCACAGAGGCCTGGCCCGGTTCCTCCCCACTGTCCCCGCCCTGTGGGGGCCCCGGGCCCGGGCGCACCTTGAGCATGGCCTGCTGGTCCTCGCTGTACTCCACCTGGGCCGTGGAGAGGTTGAGCACAAATCTCTCCACCGTGTCCTTGTCACTGTTGTACATGTAGGCGTAGGGGCGTCGTACCACCACGAAGCGCTTGGCCCAGCCGGCTGTGTGCGGCTCCAGGAAGTGCAGGTACCCCTTCTTGGACACGATCGGGCTGTGGGGCAGGGCATCTGCTGCTCACGTCCCGGCAGCCAGGAGTGGTGCGGGCCAAGGCAGAAGTCACGGCCCCCCACCCAGAGCCAGGCCCGCAGTACTGGTCATTGCCCAGGAGAAGGCGGGCCAGAGGCCGGAGTCCAGACCCACTAGCCCACCTCTGGCCCATTTCTGGGGGCTCAGAGGACATCCCAGCTGGGGATGGAGAGACTTGAAGAGCAGACACAGCCCTGGAGCTGCCAATCACGGCCCGGTGACACTAGGCCCCGCTCTGGCTCGGACCCCCGCCCCCCGTCTGCATGTTGCCACAGCAGCACCAGGACCATCGGGGGTGGGGTGCCCCCTCTAGAACAAAGTGGTCCCCAGTCTGGGTCAAGGGGTCTGCCTGACCTGGTTCAGAACTGTCCTGCACGTGGGGGAGGGTGTGTGCCTGAGTCCTGGCCCCTGGCTCTGCCCTGTGCTCGGGTAAGGGGCACTGCCTGCTGGTGGGCAGCTTCATGTGGGGCCCTACATACCTGACTCGGATTTCCTGGATGTCGGGGACCAGCAGGCGCTGGGGCTCCTTATCGGCCTCTGTGGCCCGCGCAGGGGACAGGGGCTTCTTGGAGTCTGCCTCTGGCACTGGCTCTGGCTCTGGGCTGGCTGGCCGGGAGCAGGGCTGCGGGGTCCTGGAAAGCAGGGAGACACACTGTCTGCTGCCAGGGCTCCTCGCCAGGCCCACGCCTGTCTCCTGGGCCCATCCCCTCAGAGGGACCAAGGTGACAACGGGAGCCAGGAGCCCAGCAGGCTGTGTGAAGCCTGTCTCAGGTGTGGGGTCGAGACCCTCTCCCCTCCCTTTTTTTTGGTAAAGAAAATCTGGGAACCCAGAGGCGTTTCAAACAGGAGTCAAACTCCCTTGAATCCGCCATCAGTGGAGTGAGCCGGGCAGGGGCTCCTCCCGGACGCTGTGCCGCAGGCTGCCTGGCAGTGCTCAGGGTGCTGGGCACACGGTCCCTAGGCCGTGCCAGGCGGCTCTCCCCACGAGCACTTCCGGAGCTCTGTTCTGACTCCCTTGTGGATGTGCTTTGGTACGTGCGCTTGGAGGCCATGTGGAGCCAAGCCACACAGGGGGCACCATGCACCCCTGGAGAGGCCACCACGCCCTCTCCACCAGGCCCTGCCCTCACCTGTGGCACCCCAGGCCCTCCGTCATCCCTGCCCACTTCCTCTGTCCTTATGCCCCTGAGTCCCAGCTTGGGGTACGGAAGCCTCTCCAGGAGCCCGGGGCTCACTCACCGCATGTCGGTGGCACTGTAGCGACCTTCAACCAGAGAGGGGCAGGTGGAGGACGGGGTGAGCGTGGCTGCTCCCAGAGGCGACATGGACGGGTCCCGCAGCAGGGTGACGGACATCTCAGAGAGCTGAGGGAGAGAAGCCCTCCTCAGGGCCTCTGGGCCTTCTGGCTGCATCCTGCCTTCTGCTTGGGACACCACCTCCCGATTCGCCCCAGCCTCAGCTCAGGAGACCCCCCCTCTCCCAGCCCCTCACACCCCGGCCTGCCCCTCCCAGAGCTTCAGGTCTGCGCTGACCGAGGTGGGTTCCAGGTGTGGGGCCAGCTCCAGGTGCCCCTCCACAGCCTCTGTGGCATGTGGCCAGCAGGAGGCTGCTGGGTGAAGGCCGTGGGCCAGGCAGAAGGCTCGCCTGACCCGGTGCAGGGCAGCCTTGGGAGGCTGCGGGAGTGAGGCACCAGACCAGCCTCGCTTGGGAGGGGACTGAGCCTGCAGGACGAGCCTCCTCCGAGGAAGGACCCCAGTCCAAGGGATGGGAAGACAGCAGGGGCCAAGAGGCACTGGGAGGGCACACGGGACCCTCAACCACACCGTCCTCCCAGGACCCCCGGCCTGGGATGCCTGCTGCTCAGCTACGAGGTGCCCCTCAGAAAACCCTTCATGACTTTGCCTGACAAGGATGGGACTTCTTGGTGACAAGGGCCCCACAGGTGGCCCTGGGACCCCACCCACCTTGCTCTCGCTGGCACTGATGCAGACATGGCTGTGGGTGTACTCTCTGTTGAACGTGTGCGTGAGCAGACGTAAGCACTGTGGGCAGAGAGCATGCACTGTCAGGCCACACGTGGGCAGCCGGGCGAGCCCAAGCACGGCCGGTCAGGTGGGTGCCGACACCGCCCCGGGGACAGGTGAGCCAGGGAGAGTCTCACGATGTGCAGGAGACCTTCCACTGGTCCATGCCACCACAGATGGTCCAGCTGCAGGGAGCTGTGCGCTCCTCACAAGCTCGGGGGTTCCCAAGAGGGCAGGTGGCTGCTGGGGTCCGAGGCAGCAAAAGGCCCCCAGCCAACTCCCCTGCTCCAGAGTGCGATGGGCGCGGCTAGAGGGGGCTCCGTCACCCTCCCCGCTCCTGGGCTCTGACTGGAGCCAGCCCCAGGGATGGGCCTGGGTGCCACCCGCGGGCTCCACCTACCTTGACTGCCAGCTCCCGCTGCCTCTCATTGGGTGCCTCCAGGGGCGACTGTCGGCCCTCGGCGGACAGTGGGGAGGAGGCGCCGGAGGAGCTTCGGGACTCACAGTCTTCACTGGAGACGGGGGACAGCACCTCAGGGCCGGGCCGCTGGGTGGTCTCCAGTTTCTCCCGCAGGAGCAGGTAGTGACGGGTCTTCTCGACCTTCAGCAGGAACACGGAACTCAGCAGCCGCACCCGTGAGGGGCAAGGCCAGCCCAGGCGGCACCACTGAGCAGCGGGCTCTCTGGTCAGCCTGAGGGGGTCTGGCCCTGGCTGGGGGCCCCCCACGTGAACTGAGCAGGCAGACTCCAGGGCCACAAGGCCTGGGGGACTCAGCCCCCCCAGGCTGCCCTCCCTGTCCACGGCCTCCTGGCCACAGTGCATGGGCCAGCCGGGAGCTGTGGACACGTGCATTCCCTCCCTGGGTTCTGGGGTGGAGGGTGCCACTCTGCAGTGTTAGTGGCTTGGGAAAGGACAGAAGGCTGGCTGGGGCGTGGGGCTTCAGTCTCCCCACGGACATGCCACACTGGACAGCCCAAGCTGGCTTTGGAGGTGGTGTCCCTGCCCAGAGCAACAGACGCCAGACCCAATATCCTCCCTGGACTTCTGTCTCATCCCTGTCTGAACACCCCACGTCTCCCGAGTCAGCTCGAGGGGCATGTGCTCCGTGTGGTTCACTCTGGGGACAGGGCCATGGTGCCGCTGGGCCTGGGCGGACCCGGGGCTCACCTCCTGCAGGAGGCTCAGCTTCTCCAGCTCCCACTGGTGGTCCAGGATCAGACTGTCACTCCGGGGCCGCCAGCCAGCCAGGTTCTCCTCACCCCGGACATAGGCCACGGAGGTGTCCAGCACCCGCCGGCGCCGCCGCTGCATCCCTGGCCGAGAACAGGCACTCTGTCCTTCCGGAGGGCTGCCAGGTTCTCCCGCCCACCAGGGAGTCCCAGCCGCTGAAACCCCTCCCTTCGGGGATCAAGGTCAGCTTCCAAGGTCAGCAGTGAGGCCCTGGGGCTAAGACCTGGCAGCCGCAGGGCCAGCTCACCCCACTCTCTCCATTTGAGAATGACCCCAGAGGCTTCAAGGTGAGCACTTGCGTTTTGCAGGTAAGGGACCCCAGCTTAGCTAAGGTCACCCCAAGTGGCGCAGAGACCCAGCAGCCCAGTGATCCCAGGAACCTGCCTCGGCTCGGCAGAAGGGCGGGGTGTGGCCTACCTGGGCTGCCGGCGTCCGCCACGTAGCACAGGCTGAGCTCGTACACGCCAGTCACTCGGTTGCTACGGCGGGGGGGAGGGCATGGTCACCAGGATGGGGACAGGCAGGCTGATAGACAGCGGACCCTCATACCATCAAACACACTCTGGGCACAAGCCTATGACCACATCCTCTAGGTGCCTGTCACGGGTGCTGACGGTTGGGGTCTGTGACCTGTAGCCTGCCTAGGCAGTTCCACCCCAGACTTCTTCCTGACCCCCAAGCCTGCCCCGGCTGTGCCCAGATGGGCCTGGACACTGGGTACATGAAGCAGATCATGGGAACACCCAACAAAGGTGACCACAGGCCTGCAGGGTCAGCAGTCCCAGCCCTGCAGAGGACGGCCCTTCTCACTGCCCTGATGTCCTGGCTCGTCCTCCACCCCCAGGACGCAGGAAGTGCTGAGTGCAAGCAAGGTCCTGCCTGAGCCGATGCCCTCGGGCACTGCAGCCTCCCAGAGGACCCGCTTGGCCACGTCCTGCTCAAAGTCCTGTCCAGGGCCGCACTTCCCGCCTGTTGCCCTGCGTAGCAGGCAGTCCCAGCAGTGCAGACCCTGTGGTCCCGGGAGCAAGGCACTGGCAGGGGTGCAGGGGTGCCCCCACGCAGGGCACAGGCTACCCGTGGCCAGGTTGGCCAGGTTCTCTCCGGCCTCTCCCAGGGGGCCAGGGCCAGCAGGGGGTTGGCCGGGAGCGTGCGGTGCTTGCGACCTTCTGAACACAAGTCCCATGAGTATCGGACCACAGGGGACACCCAGGGCATTCTGCGGTTTAGGGTGGCTCTCACCGCACCAGGTGGCAGACGAGGCAGCTCCCCTGCCCGCCCCCGAAGGCTCACCCCTCTGAGGCCCTCAGGCTCCCGCTGCCGAACAGGTTTCGGATGGAGCGTGAGGCTGGCAGCTTGGTGTCGCGGGAGTAGAAGACCATGCAGAAGTCCTTGGTGATGACAGCGGGCTGGGTGCAGCTCTCCATCTGCAGCGGGCAACAGCGGACTGGGCACAGGGACCCTGGGAGGATCTGCTCCTGCCCTGAGCCACTGGGGGAGAGGGAGCCAGGCCTGCCCACTTCACTGCTGGGTGGGGCTGGCCCTGAACCTCAGTGAGCCTCACAGCAGACCTGGCTGGACCCACGTTTTAACTCTGAAATGCCACAGGACGTCACTTCACAGCAGGTGACGGGCCTGGGTACCTGCCCTGTGCCCCGTGCCCGCGGGGCACAGCCTCCGCTGTTCTCAGGCCGACCTTGCTACCGCCCATGAGGTGGTCACAGACAGCCCCATTTATAGCTGCCCCTCCCTACTGAACCAGCTAGAAACACCCCGCTCCCAGCCCCAGCTGGGCGTCAAGGAGAGGCCTGTTGGCCGCAGACCCTGGAGCAGGGCAGTGCAAGTGGGGCACTCCTGGTTTTGAGCCCCTGGAACACAACTGCACTGTCATCTCAAGGACAAAACCCACCGCCGTGGACGCCGGAGGGGATCAGCTGTGAGCAGGGCCGTCAAAAGCACCTGGGTTCAACTCAGGCCTTGGGCTGTCCTCTGAGAACAGGGCCAGCTGGGATTGTCCAGGGCTCACAAGCACCCCCATAGCCCCCTGCCTGCACCCCAGCTTTGGGGAGTGCCCTTGCCTCGATGTAGGCGGACAGGGTCATGTAGGTCTTCTCCCTGTAGGGCGTGACGCGGTTCAGCAGGAGGGAGTTGTGCATGGAGCTGTCCCAGGCGGCCTCAAACTGGTAGAAGGTCCTGGAAGGAAGCAGGAGAAAGGCCGCAGATGATGGTGCAGGGGCTCCCGGAGGGACAGGACATGCAGACAGACAGTGCAGCAAGGGCAGGGAGAGCCGCTGCAGTCAGAGGTCCGGGAGCCCGGGCAGCAATGGCGGGGGGACAGGCCCTCCTTACTAAGTCAGAGGCTGAGCAGCAGCTCCTGTGTGGCCATCCCTGGTCCCCTCAGCACCAAGGGAGTGGATGAGAGGACGGAGGAGAAGGAGGGAGGTGGGAAGGCAGCCTAGATGGTGAGCCAGAAAGGACAGGGGAGGAGGGGAGGGCTGGGGAGGAGGGAGGAGGGAGGAGGGAGGAGGGGAGGGCTAGGGAGGAAGGAAGGACAGGAGGAGGGAGGAGGGGAGGAGGGAGGAGGGGAGGGCTAGGGAGGAAAGAAGGACGGGAGGAGGCAGGAGGGAGGACAGGAGGAGGGAGGAGGGAGGACAGGAGGAGGGAGGAGGGGAGAGCTAGGGAGGAAGGAAGGACGGGAGGAGGGAGGAGGGGAGGACAGGAGGAGGGAGGAGGGAGGACAGGAGGAGGGAGGACAGGAGGAGGGAGGAGGGGAGGACAGGAGAAGGGAGGAGGGGAGGACGGGAGGAGGGAGGAGGGAGGGGCAGAAGCCTGGGCCATCACAGCCTCAGTCTGAGTAAGGAGCTGCCCTGGCCCTCTCTGGCTGAAGGGCGGTGCCCGGTTTGCCCAGACCTCCAGGACCATCTCCCCAGGGGCGACTCGCCCTCCACCAGTGCTCCAGGGAGGATGCTTGGAGTGGGAACCAGGAGGCCGTGGCAGCGGCGTCTTGTGAGGCTGCACAGGCGGGGACAGGGACTCTGCTCTGTCCCTGCTCTCTAATCTGGAGAGATGATGAGCAGCACGTCTGCCAGTGGCCCCCAGGCCCTGCCCAGGGCAGCTCAGGGCAGCCCCAGGAGGCCAGGACTCTGTGTCCCCCACGGGGTCCCACCCTGCTCTGTGACCCTCAGACGCCTCAGAGGCTGAGTTTGTATCCAGCAACTTCTGCTTGCAGACGGGAGCCCTCCTAGGCCAGGTGCCCATCTGGGGAAGGGCACCTCAGTCCCCACGGCCACCCATGCTGCCCCTTCCCACACCAGCACCCTCGCAGGGCCTGTGCAGACACACTGACAGACAGCGGGCAGCAGCACACGCTCTGACACGCCAGGCCCGATGGGCCACACTGCCCCGTCTCCTGGACAGTTGGCCTGGGTGCAGGACAGAGGAGTCTCAAGGGTCAGGGCCAGGGCAGGGCCGCCGTTGGCACACAGAGCCAGGGAGAGGTCCAGGGGAAATGGGGACAGTGGGAAACCAGGAGGGGGCACAGAGCAGGCAGACATGGAGGAGAAACAGAGTGGTCAGGGCCAAGGGGACAGCAGGCACGGGAGGGAGAGAAGAGTGGGCTGTACCTAGTGTCATTCCCGAAGGGAAGGCTGAGGGGCACCAGACACACGCACACACAGGAGAGAGCGAGAGTCAGACGTCACCCCGCTTGGCCGCCTCACCGCCCCTGCGGCCCCAGCCTGGCCCTGCAGAGGCCCTGGCCCAGCCCTGCAGCAGAGCCCAGGGGGTCCCCAGCTGGACTGGAGGTCAGGGCCCTCTGCGGCCAGGCTGCAGGCCAGAGCTGGCGTCCAGCACAGCCTGACTCAGAATGAGGGCCTGCAAACTGCCCACCTCAAGCGCCACAGAGCCACCCCAGGCCACGTGGTCTCAGAGTTCACCAGGGTGTCTCCACCCTTGGCTTATCTGTATGACAGGTCAGTGACTGTCCCCACTCCACGCGGATGTCCTCAGATGCATCAAGCTAGTGTGTGACCAAGGAAAGAAGAGGGGCTGACTCCAGCACACGTGACTGCCACTGTCCTCGCTCTGTGCCTGGGTCAGACCAATGGGCCACCAGCCCCGTCTCCTGCAGGGCCCAACCAACTGACCCTTGGTCCACCTGCCTTGAGAGGCACCGAGCTCCCCGGCCAGCTTCTCCGCTGCAAGTCTCTGCGTGGCCCCCCTTCTGGGCCCTAGCCGCCCAGCTCCTCAGGAGCCCTGTGCCGCCCTGTCCTGGGGCCCTCGCCCTCCACCCTGAGCAGGTCACACCACAGGAATGAGCTTCACAGTGTCAGCTGGAGCTACTTCTGGGGACAGGGGGGACTCGGCCAGGGGCCTGGGTGGAGGATCCCCCCGTTCAGGTTCGGGGCCTCGAGCAGCTCAGACTGCAGCCAGCCAGACACCCGGGGAGCTGACTCGGGGTCTCCACAGCTGTGGGCCTCGAAGGGGTCTCTACCTGACCATGTCCACAGCCAGGACTGGGTCTTCCCAGACTACTGCACCATCCCCCAGGACCCAGATGGTCAGCTGGACCTAGGTCCAACATGGACACAGCCATGATGCTGCCCACTGGTTACTTCCAGACGGGTGGTCGGCCCTTGGCCTTGGAGGCCATCTGCTCTGCTCCGGAGGAACTGCACACAGGGCCTCTCAACCAGCCTGCAGCCCACACCAGCCACGGCTCCCGAGTCCCAGGCAGCCAGCCCTGGAACACCAGCAGCGAGGGTCAGTGGCAAGGCTGATCCCAAAGCTTCTGCAGGGGAAGAGTGCACCCTGACCCGAGTGACAGCCAGAGAGGGTGGACTTGGGTGGGGCAGGGGTGACCAAGGGGCAGCCCCTGGGGACACACCAAGAGTGCAGGCATGCTGTGGGGACCAGGGTCAGCCCTCAATCACAGGGCAACAAACTAAGACCCAGAGAAGCTGAGAGGTGGCCAGTCCCCCACACAGCAAACCCCAGGAGCAGGTCTGGGAGGGCCTCAGAGGCCACAGAGCACCCACGGCCCGAGTGGGCTCAGGACCCGCAGGGGACCTCTATACACGCAGGAAGGGGCCTGTGTCCGTCCCTGAAGCCCTCACTCTGCCAAGCTCCAATGTGGCCAAGCCCTCTGCAGCAGATTGGATCAGAGGGAATGTCCCCCAAGGCTTAAGAGTGTTGAAACTCAGCCCCTCTGGGGGTTAGAGCACAGAAAGAATCTGACCACAGTGGTTAGAGTGGGGCCTTCAGGGGTGATCGGGGTTAGATCAGGCCATTGACAGAGCCCCCGACTGACCCCTGGAAGCTTTATAATGTTCCAGAACACACACATGTATCTCCTGTCTCTTGTCACATGATGGGCCAGGTTGGGACTCCACCAGTAAGAAGGCCATCACCAGAAGCATCCCCTTGACTGCAGACCAGAACCAGGAACCAAAATAAACCTTTTTCCTCTAAGAGTTACCCAGCCTCAGACATTGCATTATAGTAACAGGATGGATTAAAATCCTCATATTCAACTGTAAAAGGTGTGCGCACTGACCTACTGAGGCAGAAACACTGGAGGGGTGTCCTTGTAAACAGAGCACCCGGGCTTGTCCTGTAGGGCTTCCCCATCAGCATGTGGTGCCCATCATGCTGGAGACCCTGGGAATCTGCCTGTTCTACAGCTGGGAAACCTAGGCCTGAGTGCTCTTACCTGTCCCTTCCTCTGGTGAGGCCATCCCAAACCCCTTCCCTGTCCCTACTCCTCCACTGGGTCAGGAGCCAATTCAGGCTCCACCCCTGGCCACCAGAAGCCCAGGGTTTTCAGTTTGCCTTCACAAATGTCCCCTGCTCCGCCTCCTTGGACACGCTCCCAGCCCACTGCGGACCAGTGTTCCCACTGCAGTGCTGGACACTTGCAGATGACAGGTGCCATGTCCTCTGCCAGGTCCCGGCCTGTTTCCAGTGAACCACGCCCAGCCCCCCGAGGGTGGCGAGGGCTCGGGACTGACGTCTGGCCCCTCTTACAAGCTGGACACTCTGCAGAGTGGCAAGCGGGGCCGGAAACACATACTCGGTGGACGGGGCAGGTCAGAGACGGCAGAGCCGCCCGACAGGAGGGCTGTGGCTGGAGGGAGCTGTGCCCTGTCCCCAAGGCTGGGGCAACAAGCAGGTGCCAGAGAAACAGGGCCTGGCCCTGTGCTGGCTTCCCCCGGCAGGAGGCTGCTGTCCAGCAGTGCAGGCAGAGGGGCAGTGGCTTCCTACCCCTGGGCACACCCGTGGGAGGCAGCATTCACTCTGTCCAGGGTCTGTGCCTCAGGGCTTGGCAGCAGAGGCTGCTGCCTTGGAGAAGGGACCCCCAAAGGCCAGGCAGTGGCTGGGCCTGGCCGGGTGCCTCCCTGTGCTCCGTCCCCTTGGCTCCCGATCGGGTGCCCTTCACCTCCCAGCTCCATTGCTCCCCAGTGCAGTCTGCCCACCAGGGACCTGGCGCTGCCTTCTATCAGGTCATCAGGGCACTGGACCCTGACACAGGGGTGCCTGTCCCCTACTGCAGTGTCCTAGGACAGGGCCTGCGGGGTCAGCACCTGCTGAGGGTGGAGTGGGTGAGCCCCTTGGCCAGGCTTTGAACTTCCTGGACAGGCAGCTTCCCATGCAGCCCTGCAGCCCATGAGGTGGGGCCTGCAGGACCCAGGGATGGATGACTGAGCCAGCAAATGCCGTGGGTCACGGCAAGGAAGGGCAGGAGGGGACCCCGAGGTCTCCACGGGACCTATGTCTGGGCCTTTCCCCAGGAGGTTGGCAGAGCCTCTTGGCAGAAGCCAGTTTCCAGGCCTGGTGGGAGGGGGGGGAGGCCCGAGCCGCTGCCCACCCCATGGTGGTCTCAGGAGAACAGCCTGACGAGGACCTCGCTGCCCTTCGGGGACACCCATTCCGATCCCTCCACTCAGGGCAGGCAGGACGTGGAGCCCAGGGCAGGGTGCACAGATGGGATGCAGATAGGTCTGGACCACCCTCGTCCTGGCCCTGTGTGCCTCCCGGAGGCCGAGCATCTCACTGTGCGGCATCTCACTGTGCCTTTCCCAGGGCCTGAACAGGTTCACCCGAGGCTGGTTAGGGAGCACGCACATCCGCCAACCCCGGGGCACCCTGAGCCAGCAGCTGTCCTGCTCTCCTCGGGAAGGGACCTGGAGCTGCAGAATATTCCACGCGCAGTCACATTCCTACAAACATCAGGGCTCAGTCTGGTGGCCCCAGGGACCTGGCTCCTCCCCACCCCCATCACCTGCAGGGCAGCGGCACTGCCCCCCACAGTGGCTCCCTGGCCCACAGAGCTGGGCCCTGTGAGGAGGCTCCTGCCCCACCCTTGCTGAGCAGAGGGTACGAGCCTCGGGAGGCCTGGGCTGCTGAGGAGGAAAGGTGCTCCCTCTCCTTCCAGTTGCCAGAGCTGGCCTGCTCCACGTCCACCCTAACCCTTCCTGGAGGCCCTGGTGTGGGCAGCGGGGGTTATCTGCGACCCGCCAAGCACCCCGCAAACCTACAGAAGGTGTGGAACCTGAATATTGGACAGACCCAAACTTGAACAAAATGCAGACGCATGACCTCGTGAGATCACACTGAGAGATCTCCCTGGGAGCGGGGAGGAGGCTGAGGGTTCCCAGCCCAGGACAATTCTGAGCACAGGGACGCCTGAGCCAAACCAGCTCACCTCCAGGACCACCAGTGGGCTGCCTCCTTCAGCAAGCCTGCCCCAGGGGACCCAGGGCGAGGGAGGAGGGCCCCGGCTCAGGCCTGTGCAGGCTGTGCCCCTCCTTGGCCACCTCTGTAGTTGACCCTGGGCAAGGGTCTGCCTCACCCAGCTCCAGGTCCCAGCAGCCTTTAGGAAGATGTGCTCACCTAGGTAGGTGCATCCACGTGCTGCCCCAGGGAGCAGGCCACAGCCCCACGGCCCCAGGGGGCCCCTTCCAGGCCAGTTTGCCCTCAGCTAGTTACCTGGTGCCCAGTCAGGCCCATCTTTACTGGCTCACCACCGTGACCTGATAAGGACAACCTCCAAAAGTTTGGACTGTGCCCGCCCAGCCCTAGGGCTCTGTCCAGGGAGCGGCCAGTATTTTCTGGGCTGTACAGCTTAAAGGCTCAAATGTTCATGGCTTCAAAACAGCTGACCTACTAATGACCACCATGAAGGTCTGACCACCATCCCATAGGCCCAGAAGGTGAGACTATGCAGACCTGCTTTTGGAACACCCTGCGTTCTCCTTAGATAAAGCCTGGATGAGGACCTTGGAGGCCATCTTAGGGCCTTCCTGAGCCCCTGCACCGGACCAGGGAGGGGCAAGGCCTGGAGTCAGGGGAGCAGGAGCTGCAGCCTCTGGGGCCTCCGGGGGGGAACCTGGAGCCAGCCCCGCCCAGGGTCGCAGGGGTCTCCACCGACTCACTGCCTGCCACTTCCAAGAGGGAAGGCACGGCCACAGGCAGGGCAGAAGGCTGGAGTGCGTCCGTCCTGCAGCCCTCCTGAGGTCTGGCCAGGCAAGGGGCTCAGGCAGCCGTGGAGTGTGCTGGGATGTGAGCTGCCTGTGACTGGGTCCCCTCTGCCCCAGACCCTGTGTTCTTGGCTCTGCCTGCTACGGCCCTGGTAGGGAGTGGCTGGCCCATGCAGCTGGGGCAGCCCAAGGCAGCCTGGCCTGCATGCAGGAGACCCCTGTGCCCACTCCGGCCAGGCTGGGGTGTCAGCACAGGGTGGGCAAGGCTGTGAGGGCAGAGGGGCCAGCCAGCATCTATGAGGCAGGAGCTACCAAGCAGCCACAAATAAGAAGGGCAGGGAGCACTCAGCCAGGGGGTAGGTAGCAGAAATAAAAAATAAAAAAACAGAACCATATTCCAAGGAAATAAAGTAATAAAGAGGGAGAAACAGGAGGAAACGGTGAGCAAGTTTATAAGAATCAAAAAGCTGGAAATCAAATGTTCAGGGTTGTGTGGGCGGTCAGGGAAGGAGGCAGGGGAGAGGCTGAGAGGAACCAGGGACATGGATGATACCTAGGAATGTCCGAATCAAGAAACTGCCTGCAAAACACAAACAGTCAGAGGTTAGTGAGGGTCATGGGGAGCGGGCCAGCAGCGGGGCAGCAGCAAGGGCAGCAGGGAGCCACCTGTGGTGGTGGGCCCACTCTGAGCCAAGGCGGCTGCAAAGCATGGGTCCTGGGAGCAGGGTGGGGGAGGCTGAGGCCATGGCCAAGCGCTTGGGCAGCCCGAGGCCCCTGGGCCTGGCTGGGACTGCCCACTATCGTGGGGTCCATCCTCAGCCATCCAGACACAAGAAGCCCTGACCATGCGGGCCTTGAGGAGGGAGTCACAGGCTGTGCCCGCCTGGGGCCACCAGCCGGAAGAGTCCTCCTCGGGTTGGGGAGCCAGGGGAGCAACAGCAGAGCGGGCGCCAAGCAAGAGGAAGCGTCTGGCTAGTCTACACTCCCCCTGGACAGGCCTTCCTGCCTCCTGGGACCCAGGGCTGGCCCACCCTAGCTCCTCAGCCCCTGGGAACATGGCTGAAGCTCTTCAGTGACATGTTCCTGGACCCCAGGAGCAGGGCGAGCTGTGTGGCCCAAGCCCCATCTGCCTGAGGGCCAGCAGCCACCTCCGACATCACCCTCAGCTTAGCCAGGGCCACGGCCACCCAGGGAACCCCTCAGCAGCCAGGCTGGCCAGAGGAGGACAGAAGACCCTGGAAATATAGCCCTCAGCACAAGGAGAGAGTGTGGGGAGGAAGACACCCCCACCCACATCTCCCCCTGCCACCTCTCATCCTGCCCCAAGAATCCTGTGTCAGGGAGGGTCAGAGGCGGGGAATGAGGTCCTCTTCCAGGACCCCCACCCTTCCCTCTGGGTCCTGGTCCACTGAGACAGGAGTGGTGGCCCACACCCCAAGGGCAGCACCCACACGGGAAGAGATGGCCTTTTCCATGCCACCCTCGTGGTGACAGGAAACCTGAGGTCAGAGGGAGAACCAGGCCCTGACCACCCTACTGTCTGCCTCCCCTCCCCTCCCAGATGTGACTCCCAGCCTGCCCACCCCGTGCCATCTGCAGGAGGGACCGTCCAGCCCTCTCCACCCCCTGGACTGGATGGAGGTGAGTTCTGTAAGAACGAGGGTCCAAGCCACATCTGCACGTCCAGGTCTCTGCCTCCACCCAGTCACCCTGTCCACTGTCCCCACCGCTCTCTGACGCTGCTCTGCCCAGCCCTGGCTTCACCTGAGGCCGCCCAGGTTTCTCCTGGTGCCGAGGGGTGACCCGCCTCTGGCCTAGCCCTGGGGTGTCTCTGAAAAGGCAGCACTGTTTGGACCCGCGACTGGGAGAGCAGGGGACGTCTCCCGCAGGGCCCTGTCCCACGGCTGGCCTTCCCTGGCAGAGCTGCGGCCCCTCCCCCTCCCCAAGCACACCCACCCCTCTCAGAGGCTCTTCCTACAAACAGCCCCCAGCCCAGTCTCCAAGGGCGACGTCAGGCCAGGTGCAGCGCGCAGGGCACGGCCTGGCTGGGGCTCGGAGCCCCTACCAAACCTCCCCCGACCTCTGGAAAGCAGCTCTCAACAGCACGCTGGCTGCCACCGCTCTTCAGGAGGGTGACTCCACATCCCTGACCCCAGTCAGCCTCAGATGCCGCCCCTCTCCCATCCCACCCACCCTGCCAAACCCCACAGGCCAGCCAGGTGTCCCTGAGACCTGAATGGCCCTCCACTGCCCTCACACCAGGACTGCACCCACCCAGGGTGCATGACAAGAGCATGTGACAAGCAGAACCCTGTGGTCACACCTCCACCCTGAGCTGCTGGGCCACCAGCTCCAGGACCCTATCCCCAGGACCCAACAGGCTCTAGGCTGCCCACCATGGGATGCATCCTGGGAGCAGGACCTGCTTGTCCACCCACTGTCCCAGCCACTGCCCCACCTGCCACGGAACTCCTGGGGACAAGACCTGGCTCCTACTCCAAGCCTATGCTGGACCCTCTGCCAGGTGTCACGGTGGCATGATCCAGGGTGGAGGTCACATAATAGGCGAGAGGCCTGGGGGCCACCAGCCTCCACTCGGGCACCTGTCCCATCGATGTCAGAAAGCAGGTGGGAAGGCTCTGGGGCCAGACGCCTGGTGGCTGGGTCAGCAGAGGCCATGGGACTGGGTGCTGGCCGCCACCCCTCAGGGACTCACCGGTCATCCTGGGCTGGGTGGACATATCCAGACGAGAGGATGTTGAGGGACAGGATGTTGGGGTCGATCAGGGACTCGTCAGTCTCCGGAGTGTTTCGGATGCGACCTGTGGGCAAGGTCATTGAGAGGTGTCACTTCCCAGGAGGCTGGCAGGGGTGTAGGGCGGAGGTGCAGGACCCGGGTGCAGGACAGGAGCCCAGTTAATGAACAGCCGTCCACAAGGCTGTGGAACGGGCAGCAGGCAGGTGGCAGGCGAGGCCCTGGCCCGCTGCTTCTCCAGGTGTCCCTTGCAGGCCATGCTCTGTTCCTGTTTCTGATGGTTCTGCCGGCCCAGCTGGAATGCACGGCCTTGCACTGCTGGAAGGAGCTGACCAAGAGATGGTCCTGCTTCCTTTAACACACGTCTGCCCCGCTAGTGACGTCCACTCTGGAAAGGGTGAACCAGCCAGAGAGAGCGGGCTCTCCCCTCCGCCACCCCGGACGTGGCCAGGATGTCTGCACGCTGGGCCACCCGGCCTGGCTGCTCCGACTTAAGCTTTGCAGCATCTGGGTTCTGGGAAGAGGGGATGTGGGCCCTCCTCATGCCGGGGCCCTCCAGGACTTGGGGTGCCTATGACAGGGAGGGGCTCAGTGCAGGGACAACCTGCCCAGACAGGACCTCAGCACTGGGGACAGCAGAGCTCTCGTCTGCAGGGAGTCTGGTGAGCACCTCTGGTCAGGACAGGGACACTGGTGGGGCCTGGCCTGGGGTGTGCTCCCAGTCAACAGCCCTCCAATACTCCCCAGCCCTCAGGAGCCCACCCACCCAGAGCTCAGCACTGCCCCAGGATGTCTCCTGTCCCTCACCCCTTTGGGGAGCCCCTCCCAGCCTATGGGGAAGGACCTGGGGTGGGGGAAGGCTGTGAAGGGGGCCAAGGGCCTGGACAGCAGTCAACTGCTCCAGAAAGTAAGTGGGCTGTGAGCCCCATGTCCAGTCAAGTGTGGGAGACCAACCTCACACGTGACTGAGTCGCACTCCCTGGCTGGGTGCTGAGGCGCTCAGTCACAGAAATGTGCCAGAGCTTTCCCCACCCTTCTTGGGTGTGAGGGTCGGTGTCTCGTCATGGGTGTGTCTTGCTACAGCCCCATGGTGAAGCTACGCTCACCTGTTCCTTTGTAATCTAACCCCTTGCCCTGTTTAGGATGGAATCTTCCACATACAAGTGCCTTGTGTGTGTCCCCTCCTCTTACTGTGCCCTTGGGTGTGGCCTACCCAGGTGTCAGTCAACCTGCTGACAGTGGACATCATGAAGACAGACTCAGCCCCCTGAAACCTGACCCCTTGCCTCATTGGAATAGCTTCTCCTCAATAAAAGGGGTCAGCCCGTGCTCTCTCTCTCTCTCTTCCTGCAGTCCCTTAAGGTCAGAGGAGCCGTCACAGCGACCCCAAAGAAAAAGGTAATTGTGTCTCTTGGGTGGTTATTTTGTGCAGCCCAGTCAGTCCCGTTTACCTGGAGTGACCCTGAGCCTTTTCGTCTCGAGAACTGAAACCTGGCAGTCAAGGCTGCTGGTTCAGGAAGCCAGAGGCAGCACCCAGTGCTCATCCTGGACTGGGGGCTGTGCACAGGGGGCAGGATGTCCCCGGTCCCCTTTCATTCCTACCCTTTCACATAAGGGACATCAGTGTCCACATTTTAAGAAAGGGAGGAAGATGGATCATGGGGTCGGCTCAGGGTGAGCTGGAGGGACCTGGGCAACAACAGACCCCAAGGCCCGTGAGGATACAGCTCTGTGTCAGACCCCGCCCCCCCCCCCCCCCCCGGGTGCAGACAGTGGGCACAGGATGTCGGCATCCGCCCCCGGGGTGGCGAGGTTCAGAGGCCAGCTGTGTTGGATCTTTGCCTTTGAACTGATTCCCTCTTTGGGTCTGGCCAAATAGGAGGGTTTGTGCACCTGCTTCATGCTTTCTCTGTGTGAAACAGACACAAAGCTTGTAAAACGAGCCTCCCTGCCAGGGTCCTGACTCGGACGAAGAGCAGAGGGTGCACCCAGGGATAGGGCCCCTGAGCCCCCTCCCTGCCTGGCCATCGAAAGGCCGGGACCTCAGCAGTGCTCCCAGAGGGGCCCCCCTACACCCCAAGGCAGAGGTGGGGCTCACTTTGGCCCCACGCTGAGATGGACACCTGTCTGTGCCCCAGAGTGAAAAGGGACCGGCGGATTCCGCACAGCTTAGAAAGGAAACATCTGACAGACCAGAGTGGAAACAAGAGGTCAGGGCAACGCCAGGATGTCCCTCTGGTGGTGGTCAGGGTGGCCTGGGTTTCCCCAAAAGTAGACAGCCCCCCGTGTGCAGGTGGGTGCAGAGGTCCCACAGTGGTGGGCCCTGATGTCCATGGCCAGCATGCTCGGGGTCACCTGTCAGAGGACAGCTGCATGCCTGGAGGACTATGTGGAGGTCCGTGCAGCAGGGGCTCTCCCCCAGCCAAGGACGGGGATGGCCCTGCCACCCACCGCCAGGTGAGGCAGGCAGGGCCAGAGAGCACGCTTCCCACTGGCCTTGATCTGGGCCTTCTGGCCTCCAGAGCAGGGGATTTCTGTGGCACTTTGGGCCAACAGCCCCAGAACACTGACTCGGATTAAGCAGGAATTTGGGAATCACCCCCCAGGTCCAAGGCTCTCCTTTTTGGCTTAGGGACTGAGGCACAGAGAGGTTTCGGGACTGAGCCAGGCCACACAGCACACTAGCATGCCAGCCCAGCCCTGAGGCAGCCCCACGTCCTGCTCACCCACGACCAGCTCGCGCACTTCCTTCCAGCGGATGTGGCTGCCCGTCTCATGCAGCAGCGTCACAGTTATCCGCCTCTGGATGCCCTGTGGGGCACAGGAGTGGGGACAGTCAGACCCCCAGGGTTATGGGGGGCAGGGGAGGACTGGGCACACTATGGGGGCAGGCAGGGCTTCACACCTGGTGGAGGAGGAAGGTCCCCATGCAGGGCATGCCGCCACGGTGGTCCACCACAGCAGGGATGTAGCTGGAAGAGAAGAGGGTGAGATGCTGGCTCCTCCCAGCGCTGCCCTGGCATGGCCCTGGTCCCAGAGAGAGCAGGCACGGGCACAGGAAGACATCAGCTGCCTCCACAGACAGAAACACCCCGCCAGAGGACAGGGTCAGCTGGGCACCAAAGCCAGGCCACACCTCCTTGACCATCACCCCCAAGCCCTGTCCAGTCCCTGAATTGCCCGGGTAAAGTTGCAGCAGGGGTCCCATCGCATGCAGCACAGAGTCCAAGCCAGCTCGGGCCTCCCCCGCTTGGCCCCTTCTGGGCCACCAGCCACACCAGGCAGCCACGGCCCCTGCGCTGTGGCCTGGGAACCTGGCTCCCCTGTGCCTCTTCAGGTCTTCCTTTCAGTGTCCCCCAATCATGTGTGACAACCCTCCATGCCTGCCACCTCCAGCCCCAGCCCCGACTCCAGCCCTGGGCCCTGGACCTGGCGCTCAGCCCAGCCGCCAGATTGTCCGTCAGCCCCACCCCTCAGCGGGGGTGTCTGCTCCTTCCCCAGCACCTAGGAGGCCACCCACACCAGACACCTGCTGAACCCTGCTGAGAGGACCCCTGGATGGTGGGAACCAAGAGGCTCCAGGCCTGGCCCCTCCCTCTGCCCCCCGTGATGCCCTGAGGACCTGTCCCTGACCCCAGCGTGGGCTCCGGGGCCGTACTCACTCCCCGTTGGCCTCCAGCTCGCAGATCTCGAAGTAGACCAGCAGATCGTACTTGCAGTGGCAGGGTCCCGGGCAGGGCCGTGTCAGCGTGCTGAGCTTGGTGGCAGGCACTGGGGACAGGCGGACACACACTGAAGGATACCTGACCTGCTACATGGCGAGGGCACACTGGGGTGTCCACCAAGGTGGCTCCTCAAGAGAAAAGCCCGGCAGCCAACCTGGCACAGCACACATCTGTGTGCTGCCTGGACCGTCCACTGACTGTACGTTGCCCAACAGGCCTTGTCCTCAGTCCCCACTAGCCCCTCGCTTGTGTCCAGCTCCTGATAGCTTCCGTCCCCCAGTGGACCCCTCACAAAGGCCCTTCCTCTATCAACTCCCATCTGAGCACTGGCTGGTTCACCTAACAGCTGTGGATCCAGATGTCTGTCCTGAGACCACGGGGAGACAGTGGCCAAGGAGCAAGAGCTGGAACCAACCGCAAGGCCCGCTGGCACACGGTGCAGGGTCAGCAGTCCTGGGGAGGGGAGGCTCCACAGCACCCGCCTGCAAGACCCTGCCTCACCGCAGAGGGCCCTGTTGGCACCCACAGCTCGGGCCCCTGCCCCGGTGAACCAGGCGAGTCCCACCTACCTGGCTTGGACAGTGGCATGACCCGGGGAAAGTGTCTGCGGGAGGGCCTCAGGGGGCTGTGGAGAGAGAGAGCCTTGGGAAGGGGACGTGGCAGGCTGGAGCTTGCAGGACGCTTGTGGCCGGCTGCTAACCCTCAGTCTGTCCCTGCCTCCCTGTCTCCCACCAGGCGAGGAAAGGCCTGATCTCATGCCCTGGACCTGTGTGGACAGGAGACAAGGCCCCCCACCCCGGACTCCAGGCTCTGCCCCAGAGGCCCCACAAGGCCACAGAGAACCAGGGGGGTGGAACTCTGGGGGTCCCAGGCCCGAGGCTCCAGGACAAATGATCCCAGGATGCTACAGAGCAGACGGGCTCCAGGCAATGCCGGCCATCGCCCCTGTCTTCCCTCGGCCCAGCTCTGGTCCTGCTCCATGGTGGGGGGGGAGATGGAGCTGGCACAGAGGCTGATCACAGTTGTCCCACACTGAGTACCTGGGAGGGCTCAGCCTGGCCCAGAGGGCTCCATCCCACCCTCTGGGGCCCAGGGTGAGGGGGACCCCCACTCTCAGGGCCCAGGTGAGATGGACCTGGCTCTCTCTTTCTGAGCCCCTGGGAGGCTACATGGGGAGAGGGGGTGGACAGACATGCCCAGATAGAACTGCTGGACAGCAAGCACCCCGACACTACCCGTGCTCAGCGGGAGGCCGAGTTTCCAGACTGAGAAGCCAGACCAAGCGCAGAGCTCTGGCTGAGCCATCCCGAGTCCTGCAGGCCCCAGGTGAGCGGCCTCCGGCAGGCGGGAGGGGCCGCAGAGGCACGCGGGCTCTGCAGCCTCAGGTGCAGGCAGTGACTGGGGAGGCGCCCCTGCCCTGTGATCCTGGCAGCTGACCTGAGCACATCCTTGCAGAGAGGCGGGAATGGGTGCTGCTGGTAGTGGCCAAAGACCTCGAACACGATGGGCTGGCTCCGGATGTACTCGATGAAGGACTTGGTCACCTCCACTGCGATCTGGACATCAGAAAGCGTTCAGTCTCCAGGCAGACCCCGCGCTCTAAGGGACACTACCAGCCCACCCTCCGCCCTCTGGGGGACAACACTCCCTGGCAGACCCTGCCACGAGGCCTCTCCTCCCAAGACACACCCAGGCCAGAAACCAGGGGGCAGCCCACTTCCCCAGGGCATCTGGGGCCAATCGCTTGGCTGCCTTTCAGAACACGGAGCCCAAGAAGGAGACCAAAGCCAGGGCTCTCCTGCTACCCTTGCCCTTGCCCACTCACTAAATTATGGGGTGAACTTGCACCCCCCAAATCCTGCCCTTAAGTCCTGACCCCAGGGCCGTGGAATGCAGCTGTTTAGATACATGACCGATAAAGTGAGGTCACAGAGTGTGCCTCATCCAGTGTCCAGTGTGGCTGGGGTCTGGACCCCGACGCAGGAAGGAGCCCCAGGAAGGAGCAGCCCGCTGCCACCTGACGGGAGGAAGCAGCCCCAGAACCAGGCTCGCTGCTCAGAGCCGCGTCACAGCGGCCAGCCGGTGAGCACTCCTCCGTCTGTCCCTAGATCCTGCTCTGTCACCAGGCCAGCACTTTCCTCCCCACCTCTCAGCCTTGCTGGACTCCCGGGGCCTCTCAGGACTGTGCTCAGGCATCCTCTGGCCCTCCTCAGGCCCAGCCTCCACCCTGTCCCTGCACCCAGGGTGCCCTCGGACAAACCCAGCCAGGACCTCACTCGACCCTCTGTGCCATGTCTGCCCTTTGGGGACACACAGCCTGCTGCCCTGTGTAGGCCCACCCCACATGGCACTGGTGGCCCATGCTCCTGCCAGGCAGCGTCCTGCCGAAGCTGTCCAGAGCAGACGGGGGCGAGCAGGTGAGGGCAGAGGGCTCAGACGTACGTTCTGGACGTGGTAGAAACCGAGGGGGGGGCCCCTGCCCGTGTTCTTCAGGGGCTCCGTGGAGAAGGCCTCATCATGGCGGTGGATGAAGCTGCAGGTGGGAGGATGTACTTGGTGGGGGGGACGTGGGGCAGGGACCACAGGCCTCACTGAGGGTCACATGTCCTGGCCTTCACAGCCCCCCAAACCTGTGTCTCACTTTGTGCCCCAGACTGACAGCCTCCTCAGAGTACCTCTCCTGACAGTTCAGGGACAGAGGGCGGGACAGCCTGGGGACAGAGGGCAGGGCAGCCTGGGGACAGAGGGCAGGACAGC